AATTATATATCGCATCATTTTAAATATGAAAAGTTAGAGGTTAATTTGTCAGTAGACGTAATTAACAGCAAGATGAAAGTATATTTCCTTTCCTTTAAAACTGAAGTTTGCTTGTTTTAGATTAACATTCACAATTTAATTATAATTAAAAAGAGGATCCGTACTATATTTAACAATAAAATTATTTTAAATTGGATAACACTCTTACAACTTTTATATACCTTATATTTATTTCGTTAGTTTTTCATAGTTCATGTACGCTATATTAGGCTATTTCTCAATATACCTAATATTTATATTGATAGAATGAAGTTGATCAAACTAAGATTTTTGAAGCATAAAATATGAGAATTTGGCCTCAGTCGAGAGCATTCGCTGCCACGCCACACGCTCTACCAAACACTTCCTACCGAAGCCTTAGTGCTTGGTCACGTTAACAAGCGGGCGCGGTCGTGATCGCGGTCACGAAATATCAAACACATTATATGCAAGTGTTTACGTACAAAACGCAGGTGCGGTGGAAGTAGCGGGCAAGCTGGCGACTATCGCGCGCGACGCGCTCGCGGTAATATCAAACGTATGAAGTTGTTTGTGTGTGCTCACATCGAAATAGCGGCGGAGCGTGCGATTGATTCGCGACTTCAGGTAAGATCAACAACTTTGAACTTGTTGCTACAAACGAACGATTATTCAAGCAAATGGACTCGCCTCGCATGATTATTCTCCTCTAACAGGTCTCTTTCTTTATTAATTTCATGCACACCAATTCTATTTTTTGTCATCTCCCACTTTAAGTAAGAATTTTCGATAAAAATAAAAGTTTAAAAATAAAAGTTCGTCGTCCATGTTCACAACTTCTGACGACACGTCACACTCGCGCAAACGCCTGGCGGCCAACGTGAACACGAGCTCGCCCAAACCATCGCGCCGTTTGCCGCCCCCGCGCCCGCGTGTTCTACGTGAACAAGCACTTGGGCTAAGGATAAGATCTAAGTTAAGAGCGTATAGCGGGGTGTACGGCTTGGCTTCATGACAGACACATAATGTTATATTAGAGTGTTTAAGAAATACAACGCTGATTGTGTATCAAGACGTAGTTTGGTAAGTATGAAAGACCCTCATATAACTCTATTAATCAAAATTACGAAAGGCCCGGTTGACTCTACTCTTCTCCTATCTAAGAATAATCGGGTTATAGGTCATCGAAAATAAAATATGGGGGGAGGTGGGGTACTCTGAACTGAGGTTTACAGTGAAATAATACGTTTAACTCATATACTATTAACTATGCACACATAAAATATAAAAGAATCGTGTCATCTAATCCCCCTCGCACCGGTAGTAGTCACGCTGTAACTGTGAATGGATAGCGCGATGGCTTTGAAGCCATCCGCTATCCGTAAGTACCATATGTATTTTTTTTCCTGTGTTTATACAATATTTTCCACTCGAAACTACTTCGAATTGTTTAGATATTATTATATTACATATAAAACAATCTAAAAAGCTCTCTTAATAAATACTTTAATTATCGGAACAGGTTATTTTAATTAAAGAAATGCATTCGATTTAAAATTATTGTGTGTTGGGCAACAATGGACCGTTTTGATTGTTTCATACAGTTTAAGTCAGTAACTTTGTGGTTTTAAGACAATAATTACGAAAAATATGATTGTATTTATATTGATAACATTTATTACTTAAATTAACAAATATTTTATTTAACACATTGCATCAGTCCATTGTTACCCAGGTAAAATAGCATGGTAATTTCATGCGTTGGTTCACTGTGCCCAAAGGATATTCAATGTACCCCGGGTATGCGGGGTACTGTGGATCACTTACCACTTAAAAAAGTCTTGGTATCTGAAAACTATTGGTGATTATGCATAATTTAATTGGAAATTTTGTAACCAACATCTCATCCTACCAATCAAGCTGTAAAAATTGTAATTAAACGTCTATATACTGCTTTTTGACCTTTTTAAAAAATATTCACTGTACCACACTTTCCATAAAACTGGACGACATTCCCGATATAGACATTTTAAAATCTTTCTCAAATACTCTTTAAATATTGTTTCCAGGAATGGTTCGATGCATCTTTTCAATATCCGTATTCTATGTATAAATTTTGTGTTATTTTATAATAATTAAAAATGAATAAAAGCATTATGTATTAGTTTCAGCAGTAATCATTTTTAAGTAATGAAGCAATATTATACTTTTGTATTCCAAAAAAAAATTAAATGGATATTATCTTTATAACAGATAATAGATATATTTATTTTCGCTGTGCAGGTAACATAAATACACCTGCACCACACTAACAAATGAATGGGATATCATTTTGTCTTTTGAAAATTGTTGTTTAAAAATCTGAAGACTGGGCGAACATTGAACTTAGGATACGTACTTGTAAGTACGTTTATTCATACCAGCCAAAACAGTTACTCGCCTTTTGGGATCAACTGCACTTGGATAGAATTAATTTATAGAAATTTGAGAAACATTGAAATATCCTCCCGAGTTTTTAGATAATGCAATGTAAGTTGTTAAACTTTCATGGTTAATATAAATGTTAAAAGTCAAAGCCTACTGCCTACATATTTGTCTACTGCTAGGCATTGGCCTCCTTTCATTTCTGAGAGGGTTCCAGTCAAAGAAATGTCCACCGCGCTGCTCCATTGCGTGTTAGCGGACTTCACATATCTTCGAAATACTTGGGTTTATATAATAAAATAAAATTGTACGTAAGTTTTTTTTCGTAAACATAAAAATTACCACATTTTAATTTGGAAATTCCTTTATGTGGTATGAGGAATTACGCGAAAATAAGCTCACTGTGTGTAGAAAAATACTCAGGTAGTTTCAGTCTGAATACTAACTCTACTGAATAATATGATTTAGGGCTTAATACGATCAGCCGTGAAGGTATTAAAAATTCTTATTATATAAACTCTTCATCATTACAGACCATCAAGAATGTACTACTCAACGTAGGCCAACCCGTAGATTGCCGTAGGGAAGATATTTGCTATAGTTGCCACGCTCGGCAAGCAGGTTAATAATTTCAAAATTCAGTTACGTTGTCATCCCTCTGAAGACTAAGGCCCGTATTAATAAACGTTACTCAACGACGAACTCAAGTACGTAATCATTTGATAAGCCCTGATTACGATATTAGCATCTCAAGATTATTGCTAATTAATAAACACATAAAAACAGTGTCTCAAAACACTGTACACTGTTCTGTGACTTGCTCTTAAGTACACACACTTGAGAGTAGAGTTTCGTATATTAATCAGTGTGGCACTCAGCTGATATCGTAAACCTAAACCGCATCTTGAGATATGTTTATTAATAAGATCATAACCTCTCAAACTAACTACTCAAATGCGTGCACTTGAGCTGAGTGACGTTTATTAATACGGGCCTAGGACGGAATGCCTTGTATTCAGTAAAAGGAGTTTCCGGTTCTTTACACTCACCATACGACACACCAGCATTAAGCTGCTATTTTACGTTAGTATTTTGTGAGAGCGTGATTCTTCCCCGGTCGAAACAACTCATTCGCGCTACAACCATAATATAGCTGTAGCATAGCTTCTACCTATCGCCTTATGGTGTTATAATATATGATAAAGTTTCATGGTGTGATTACGATTAACATGAGAATCGATGATGTTACTAAGGTATATATTTTTTTTAATAACGTTACCCCTACACTAGGATTTTCTCCTGTATCGTGGAGGCAGTTTACAAACACAAATTGCACAAGGACAAACATCCAGACCCGGAACAATTACTTGTAGGCCATACAAATACTTGTTCCGTGCGGGAGGATTAATAATTTAGTAATTATTTTATTGGCCAAGTAATGGCGTTGTTAGATATCCACTAAGAGATGGGCACCAGCATTTTCCTGATGATGAACAGCAAAAAATTATAAAAGAAAAACTATGGTTGCCATTTTCTTCTTCACTTTATTATTTAATAATATCTGACTTTTATAGTACTTTAGCAGTATTTCCGATTTTTATTTTAAATTTATTTCTATGGATACATGTGAAACATTCATGTATATTCGGTGGCGCAGTGGCTTAGCATTGAGCTGCGGCGCTGAGGGTTGCGTGTCCTTCTAAAATTAGTTATGGTCTAGATGTTTATTCTTGTTCAATTAATGTATCTTAATTGATTTCACGGTATAGGAGAAAATGGGGTTTATAAGTTATTTGAAAATAAAAAAAAACAAAAGCTTGTCAAAGGATATTTTTGCAATCCAAGAAAATGAAAACGAAATAACTAACACAGGCTAGGTCTAAAGTAGTAGAAATCCGGCGAGATAGGATTCGCGTGTTGCACGCGATCCAAACATAAACAAACTTTGGTGTGACGTCAGAACATGAAAATAGAGGTTTTGTGCCGTTGAAACTCACGCATTCTAAGCTCTATATGGAAATAGGAAAATGATTATCTTCGGCTACATATAGGGCACTACTAACGTTCATATAACCAAAAGATAATGGTGTTTTCATAGATAATTTTGTGATATTTTACGCAAACTTACAATATTAATTACAACGTAATATTTTGTATTAGATAAGATACGTCCTTTTTTTAAATAGGACGTAGACGTCGCGGTATATTCAGAAAAACAACTAGTTTACAACTGACTTCAAGAAAAGGAGGAGGTTCTCAAATCGACTGTTTTTTTTTAATGTGTGTTACACGTGAACTTTTTTCTAGCTAAATCGATTTTGATGATTCTTTTTTTATTTGAAAGCTGGTAATTTTCATGTGGTCCCGTATCCGTTATCCTTAAAAATTATTCTTTAATTGACTTCGACTACTTTGATGATGTTCTCATTTTATTTATCTTGACATCGGTTGCACAAAATTTTAAATTTTGCCACGTGTATTTGTATTATTATTATATATCATTATAAATTGTAAACACATTTGAAATATTAATTATTAGTTTCATTAATGTCGCTTACCTCTTGATGTTCTGGTATAAAAGTCCTTCTCCGTTGCGTTGAATCATGATATCTCGCAGGCAGCACTGGATCCTCGCCTGACACTGCTCTTTGGTAGGATAATCGTCTGCCTTTGCTATCGGTGGTCGGTCCATAAGATTCAATCTCAGGTATACTAGAGAAGTCCTGATAAGAGTGACACATTTGCATTTCTCTGCTTTTTTCGTCTTGAATGACCCGTTTGAAGTAATTCGTAAGACCTTCACTCGCTAACCAAGTTACTCTGAAAAATCGGTTATCGAATGATATTGTGAGAAAATTTGTCTACAATGACTTAATGAATATAATAAAATTTGTTAAATATTTTATATTTTTCTACTTAAAGTATTTTATAATTGAACTGAACTGAACAAATATATATACAAAATTATTGTTTATTTATTGTTTTACTATTCAAATTCTTTTTATAATGTTTTACCATGTAGTGGCGGATATACACTACACCATGTCGTCCAATGGATGTCGTAAGAGGCAACTGAGGGAATGAAACAGAAGATGATATTACTATGTTGAAAAAGTAAAGTAAAATTGCAGCCTAAATATGCCCCATTGCTGGGCACAGGTCTGTCCCACTTCTGAGAGGGTTTTGATATGCTGAAATCATATTAATATTTCCTTGCCCTAAGCCCCTCTCAGAAGTGAGAGGAACCCTGTGCCTAGCAGTGGGACGTATACAGGCTGTAACTTTACTTTTTATGCTGAAAGAACGATATTAGGGTCAATTGTAATAAATGGTTACAATTAATAATCGTACAATTGATGATTTCATTAATATAACAATTGATTATAACGTCTGTTAAGAACGGTATACGTAGTAAAACGTTTTTATTACTTCACAATTAGCGCCACGCGGCAGCCTTTATCGTTAGTCACCCGTTTGCACAATTTATTTGACAATAAATAAGAGCTCATATTTGTTATATCAGGCAATAAACTCATATCTACGGCGTGTAATGGTGGCTTAGCTACTGAGATGACAAACAGAAATATTGTGTTCAAATTTTGCAATGGAAGACGAAGTTTAGTGCAATTGCCAAGCCAATTTATTTATTTAAAACATAAAAGGTTTTTAATATTGATATGGTCACTATAAGATGTTGCTAATTACGTCCCCCCCGAACGGGTTCCCGCCTTATCGTGGCGGGGTGCGGTCACCGCGGGTGACCACTCTGGCTTAGTAGCCGTGGCTTGGTCACCCGCGGTGAACTAAGAGGAACCCATTGGCTGGCCCGAGGTGTAGGGCCGGTCCGAGGTGGCCTCTCCAAGTGGGCTTGACGAGCCCACTTCGGATGTGTGTCGGTGGGCTGCGGTGAGAGAGGTGTCCGCTCCCACTACCGCTGCAGCTGAGGTGGAGTCGCGGAGCAAGAGGAGTGTTGGTATGGCGATGCGCCACTCGCTCTATCCTCCGCGACTCTGACGGGGCCGCACCGTTGATGCGGTGGTGGTGGGGCCGCGGGGGGAGAGGAGTGTCGGATTTGTGAGGCGCCGCTCTCCCTATTCTCCGCGGCCGAAATTTGGTTGGCGGTGGAGCCAGAGATCAGATCCACCGCTGGGGTCGGGAAAGTGGGTGCTACTAAGCGCTCGATTTTCCTGGCCCCATGGCCGCCGCGTATCGGATTCGGGGGATCCGATACGTAGGTGGAGTTGGAGGCCGTGGAGGGGGGCGTGCCTTCTATTCCTGGTGCGCCTTGCCTGAGAAGGAGAATGGGGAGGAGCGGTCCTCCCCCGAGAAGGGGCTGCCATGGGGCGACCGGCGCTGGTGGGGCCGCGGATGTGTGCGAATGCTTTCCCGTGGCCCTGCCAATATGCGGGGAAGGTGGAACACCATGGGGTTTTAGTCGGTGCGAGTCCGACATAACCCGTCTTTAGGCATTCCTCATGTATAAAAAAAAGGTTAGCTAATTACGTAATAACTTAAAACAGAAGGACCCTTTAGAGACTGAATAAATTAACCGACTTGGTGTTACATGGACCTCACAACTTTGTACGGTAGAAGAACTGAGTTGCGAGATTTGTTTTTATTTTACAAGTAATGTTTTTGAAGGCATCTCATTTCTTTTTGGAGGTATTTATATCTAGACACATATCTGCACCTATTATTCCATTATATTATACATATTATATAAGTACACTAATTCATTCACTGAAAATGTAACATTGTAATGCTATATATTTATATGGGATTACAAAGTTATTTATGCAGCCGGTGTATCTCAAAAACTGGACCGAAATTGCAAAATATTTTAGTTTTTCCTTAATGAATATACTAAATAATAATTATATTCCAAATTTGAAGCTTCTATGTCTGCTAGAAGTACCTTAGTTTTAATGATCGGTCAGTGAGTGAGTGACAAAATTAATAAACTGACTAGTTATAATTCTTAAACTACAGGTTCAAATTTAATGAAATTTGAAATATAATATATCGAGTTTATACAATGCCTACTTGGTTACCTACTTAAAATTCAGGCTTCTAGTTTTATGCACATCGAGGTTATAGGGTTTGGAATAGCCTGAACTGCTTCGAGAAAAGGGTGGTACGGCCGTGCCGCTTTTTTGCTCGACTTGGCGGGGGCACTACCGTGCCCCCTGAACAATTGCGTCAGATGATAAGTAAGTGACTTTTTAGAACGTGTCACTATTTTTATATAGTTCTTTAATAATTCCAAAGCTAGTCATTGCCGTTAAATTACTGTTTGAAAAGTAAAAAAATCGTGAGCTACTTACCGTAGTTTTTGGGTCTCTTATTGTAGTGCAAGGTATAAAAATAATACTTTAGTAGATGATTGGATTTTTGAGTAACTGGGATTAAGGATGTTTAACATTTTTTATAGGATTAGGGCGACAAACGAACACACAGTCCACCTGATGGTAAGTGGTTGCTGTGGCCCATAGACATCTACATCTTTCCTCGATTACGAATCAAAATGCAGATGCGTTGTCACCCTTGAGGACTAAGATGAAATGCGTCGTTTCCAATAAAAAGGGTCTACGGTTCTCAACACTCACCATACGAAACACCACTCCTGTGTTTCGTATGGTGAGTGCGTGAGATTCAGTTGCTATTTTACGCTGGCATTCTGTGAGAGCGTGGTCCTTCCCCGGTCGATCCGATCCATTCGTGCTACAATTATATCAGTAATATAGCTGCAGCATGACTCTACCAAGTTTATGAAAGTGAGTTAAAATATCTTTTGCGTATTTGCTTCGTAGCAACCTCATTGTGATCTACATTGGTATCAACAATAACAAATTTTTCTTTTGAAAAAAAAGAAACGGAAGTAACAAACGAACTACGAGACCCATGAACAACTGCAATACAAGGGGAATTGCAGGAGCGTTGTCATTATCTTGCAGGCTAAATACTATAGATGTATATGTTTGACCCTTTTTAGTATCGCTTTTTGTTTCATTGAGAAATTCGAAATCAAAACGATTTTAAAAAGAAGGTTTCACTTCAAAAATGATTGTTGGAAGTAAAGACTTTAGAAATGAGTTTGAGGGGGGGGGGGACTCGAACTTTAGGCTAGTCAGTTTGCCTATCATGTAGAAAATGTCATGGGGGTCATGGTTGAATAGGAGCAAAAAGTTCTCATTACACTCCTAGGGGTCAAAGTGGCCAAAAACCAAACAATTGGTGAGTGGCTGGAACTTTAGGCATAGTCAGTTTGAAAAACCTATCATGTAGAGGATGTTCTGGGGGTCATGGTTGAATAGGGGCAAAAAGTTCTCATTACACTCCTAGGGGATCAAAATGGCCAAAAACCAAAAAAATTTAAATTCTTACTCCGCCTCCTTTGGACGTTCTTACACAGTTCTTATAAGAACTGTGTAAGAACTGTGTAAGACACAGTTCTTACTTCCCGCAGCCCACTTGTTTTAGGTCGTGTATAAGTTTATGATGCGCTATGTTTTTATACACAATAATCATGTAGCTTCCTGATTAATGTCTCATGGTGAACACAGTAATGATGTTGACAGTAATCACCATCATCATCATTACAGCCCTTCACAATTTCACTGCTGAACATAGGCCTCCCCCAAAGAATGCCACAAAGCACGGTCCTAAGCCACCTGCATCCATCGAATTCCTGTATATCTTACCAGGTCGTAACTCCATCTAGTGGGGGGACGCCCTACACTTCGCCTGCCGGTACGAGGCTGCCACTCGAGAACCTTTTTTCCCCATCGGTTGTCGGTTCTTCGAGCTATATGGCCAGCCCCTTGCCACTTCAGCTTACTAATCCGTTGGGCTATGTCGGTCACTCTGGTTCTACTGCGGTTATCCTCATTTCTAAGTTTATCACGCACAGAAATTCCAAGCATAGCCGTCTCCATAGCTCGCTGAGCGACCTTGAGCTTCCTCATCCGGCTAGCAGTGAAGGTCTCAGTTCCATACGTCATCACTGGCAAAACGCACTGGTTGTACAATCCCGTTTTCAAATTTTGAGGTATACCTGACGAGAAGATGTGCCGTAATTTCCCGAACGTTGCCCAACCGAGTTGAATCCGTCGATTGACCTCTCGGTCGAAGTTGGACTTACCTAATCAGACTATTTGTCCCAGGTAAACATACTCGTCAACAACTTCGTGCTTAGTGCTCCCAACAACTACCGGCATATGTGTGGCATGGACATTAAACATGGTCTTTGTTTTGTTCATGTACATCTTAAGACCTATCCATTGGGGAACACTATTGAGGTCATTGAGCATAGTGCTTAGGTCCTCCAGCGATTCTACCATAAGGACTGTATCGTCGGCAAATCGAAGGTGAGTGATGTACTCGCCATTGATGTTGATACCGTATCCTTTCCAGTTCAGAAGCTTGAAAACGTCTTCCAATGCAGCGGTGAAGAGTTTCGGGGATATGACGTCACCCTGTTTTACACCTCTTGCAATTGGATAGGTTTCGTACTTTGGTTCTATACTCGAATAGCCATCGTAGCACTACTGTACAAGCACTTCAACACTTCGATATATACCGACAGTCAACATTGCACCGCTGAAGGGACTGCAGCACCGCCCAAATCATTGTATATATGTATTATTTGATAATCCCTATCAGTGCAGTATAAATTGATATAATATAAATTTACAAATATGTAACATAAAATTAAAAAATTATTCAATTTAGTTTGGTTAATACTACAAAACTTCTGAATCAGATAATGTTACTTTCTGTCAGGGGACTGTCTGCATTATTAACACATTTTTAATTATCCTCACCGCCATACAACAATGCCCTACATCCATTGCTATGTTGGTTGTGGTTTGAAGGTAAGAGAGCCAGCATAATCACAGGCCGTGAGAGTTCCAACGTATGAAAATGAAAAAAAAAAATGAAAAATGTTTATTTTACAGAAAACAAATGTATATGTATATGTAGCTTTAGTAGTTTAAAATGAGTTGCAGGTGGACAATTACTCTATACTGTTATTAAAAATGTCTAGTATTTGTGAGTTAAGCTTGTGAAAGTTAGTACTTTTATTATTTTAAACGAAAGAAATACTCAAATTACTATTACTTAGTATAAAGCAACAAATTGTAAACAGTTAATGTAAACAAACATTACGTATATGTTTGTTTTCATACAAAGCGATACATTCGTACCCTAATTCCCAAATGAAATTGCATATTCAAAGGTTTTAAGCTGCATTATTTACAAAAGACAAATGCATTAAAGCGGTATATGGAAATCTCACGTGCATTTTCAATGGTTACATCTGCAGGTAAATGTGTATTATCTAATTTTACACTGCATTTAGAGAGATTTTTAAAAACATATAAAATAATAGAAACATTTATTCGCACGTAAATAAATAATGCTGATCGAGTGTTAGTTATCATTTTCATTATTAAGCGTGTATCAAAATTCTGTATGACTAGGATAAAAATACGTAAAAATACTGAATCAAAGTTATACAAATCAAGAAAAGTGAAAAATAAACAATTAGAGTCATAATATACAAAGGCAGCCAAATCGGTATAACAATGAATGCTTTGGCTAGAAATAATGAAAATACTCATTCAATTTCTCGGTCACCCTTCCCCCAGCAGATTTTCGAGGGTAAACTCCGTGGGAGGTGGGATAATCACTTCCTTCGGGTAATTTTAACAATCCCTTACGTTCCCAGATAAAAATATATATAGGTAATTGTGAATATTTACAATTGTTTTTATACTTAGTTTTATTTATAGTATTTTTATTATTTTTCATTAAATTGCTTTTTTTAAGCAGTGTTCAAGACTTGAAACCTTGAGAGTAACATACTTCAATAAATAGCTCAGAAAGATAATAATTAGGTACGCGTTGTGTTATTTTTTACTGCAGATGATTTAATCGGTTCTTGCTTTATAGAAGAAAATAAAACATTTGATGGTGATCTAATCGAACATAATATTATATTAATACCTGTTAGCTTTTGATGCTTTTCTCCTTAATCGTCCATTTGGGGCATCCAAGCCAGAGCTCATGGATATCGCTCGATTTTTTAACAGGGAATCTTGAATGTATGTGTCATTTAAACCTGCAATAAACATAGAGTGATATGTAAGTGTATGTAAATTAGGGTCGATTTTTCGATCTATTCGTCAAACAAAAGTAATATGTCGAGTAAACTACGACCTGGCTGAAAAGCCGGATTGAAAAATCGGCTCAAAATGAAATCTTTTAATTTAATTTGGGCTTGCTCACTATTATATAGCCACTTATATCTATTAGAATAGATATAGCATAATTTAAGAATTATTTCTAATCTATTCAGCCTAAGGGTTGAAGAGATTTCCAACAGGAGAATAGTTTTTACGTCCCTCCATACCATTATTTTTGACAAACTGATGTAACGTGAATTTATCCATCATTTTTAACGAAATATGCGTTTCAAATTTAATAAACCAACCGATGCTTGAGATAAGCATCGTTTAAAAATGTATCGAATAATTATTTTATATTTTGTAAAATAAAACTAGGATCAAAACGTATTTTAAACGTATTTTCGACTGGTCGTTTGGGCTTTTAAAGGCCTTACGTGTTCAATAGTGGTGTAAAGTCAACTTCAAAAGACTAAGTTTTGAGCTGATCTTAATCGCACGAATAACACTTTATAGTCTTAGAGTCAAAGACCTGTGCTGCTCATCATAGAAATGTTGAAATATCTGTTAGAAAATACCTATAGTAGAAGTATTTCAATGAAATCGGGTTAAAAAGCATATAACAAAGATATCTCAGGGATTATTATATTATAAAAAGGTTGTCGTTTATGATTTATGATTATATGAGCTTAATTATATAATATATCAATACCTCAAAACCTTAAAACGAAATTGTACAACCAGTGCGTGTTGCCAGTGATGACTTACGGAACTGAGACGTGGTCCTTCACTGCTGGCCGTATGAGGAAGCTCAAGGTCGCTCAGCGAGCTATGGAGAGGGCTATGCTCGGAGTTTCTCTGCGTGATAAACTTAGGAATGAGGATATCCGCAGTAGAACCAGAATAACCGACATAGCCCAACGAATTAGTAAGCTGAAGTGGCAGTGGGCCGGCCATATAGCTCGAAGAACCGACAACCGATGGGGAAGAAAGGTTCTCGAGTGGCAGCCTCGTACCGGTAGGCGAAGTGTAGGGCGTCCCCCCACGAGATGGAGTGACGACCTGGTAAGACATGCAGGAAGTCGATGGATGCAGGTGGCTCAGGACCGTGCTTTGTGGCATTCTTTGGGGGAGGCCTATGTTCAGCAGTGGACTTGTGAAGGGCTGTAATGGTGAAATGGTGATATAATATATCACAAATTTTATTATTATTATTTTTGACGGCTCCGTGGCGCAGTGGCTAAGTAATGAGTTGTTGCGCTGGGGCCGCGGGTTCGAATCCCGCACGGAACAATTACTTGTATGGCCTATAAATAATTGTTCCGGGTCTGGATGTTTGTCCTCGTGCAATTTATGTTTGTAAACTGCCTCCACGATACCGGCGAAATTCCTAGTGTGGGGGTAACGTTTTTTTAAAAGAAGAAATAAAATAATTTGTAAACATTACACGTCAACGATATTTTGATCTGCCTGTACTAAAAATAATTGTAATTTGAAATATCTTTTTTCTTCTTTATTAGCTTTAAAAGTCCCCTGATAGACGTTGGCCTTTCCCGTCGCACGAAGGATTTGCCATAATCGCTACGCTTGACAGGCGTATTGGGATAGTATTGTCGATCACGCTGCTTCTTGTTGCCGGTTTTTACATTATAAAAATATTATGTAATATATTTACTACGCAGTCGCGGTATGAATAATCTTTATTCAAAAAAATACGTGTCACGTTGTTTGTCCGCGATGGACTCCTAAACTACTGAACTGATTTCAATAAAATTTTGCACACAGCGTTCAGTTTGGTCCAATTTGAAAGATAGGATAGTTTTTATTCCGATAAATGATCCTCAATATTTTTTATTACGAATTTAAGGATTTTTTATAGGATAAAATGTCGTTGGAGAGGGCAGAACAACATCTGCCTGGCGAGCTATTTATTTATTATATAGTCTTGTGCATAATCATCACGTCTTAATGTGTGTCAGATATATAGATATATAGTACCCAGGTTAGTGATGGAAAGGACGGATACGGCACAAAATAATAATATATAAGTGATATTAACTATGTGATAACCTCTCAAGTGTGAGTACAGCTATGTAGATTATTGATTGATAATGATGATGAAGTTTTACTACGAGTAGAAGTAATATATTATACATAACATTATTCTACATAAAGTTTGCTGTTGCTTATGAAAAATGTAAAATATTAGGATGCTTTTACATGTAAAATGACACTGTCGAGTAACATTGAAATCCTACCAATTACTACCCAACATACAATATATAAACATTAATTTATGTTTGTTCGTATTTTATGCGCAGATATACTGTTTCATTAGATTGCGCTAAAACTTTGTCAACTCATTGCTGGCACTTACGCGAAGGTTATAGGCATAGTACAATTTACTTACAGTAGGTGGCGCGCGTATCGTACTGAAATTTTTATATGAAAGTTACATATCATTCCACTTCAATAAATGTAATAATTCCTAATTAAGCAAAATAACTCTTGTGAAAAAGATATTTCCACGATTAATTCTTCTGTGGCAGCACCACGCCGGGTACCAGCCAGTATTGTATAAAATGAACACATTATCCTGCTCATGCATGCATTATAATTTATAACCATCTATAGACAACAAAATGTACAACAAAAATTACAGCAAGCTGTGACAATTTGATACGCATGAGTTAATAGACTCGTATATCAATATTTCCTTTGTATGTATAATATGTTGCAAATTATTTTACATGTAATATATTAAAGCTGCTTTTAACAAAAATCATTTTGCTGCTTTTTGTTCAAATAAACATAATTAATTAAGAGCTGTGGTAGCTCAGATGGTTAGCACTCGCTGTTAATTTCACAGTACGCCGACAACCCGGGTTCGATCCTGGCACCAATGAAATCGTTAATGACAATTTTATGTGCTGATTTACCACGTGCTCAGCGGTGAAGGAAAACATCGTGAGGAAACCTACATGTCTGAGAAATGAGAAAAGGATATGTTTGGAAGGCATGTGAAGTTCGGCAACAACACGCATTGGGGCAGCGCGGCGGACACTTCCTGGTCCTAACACCCTCTCAGAAATGAGAGGAGGCCTGTGCCCAGCAGTGGGATGTATATAGGCTGTAACTTTAACTTTTTTAAACCTAATTAACAAGATACTTACTATGTACACTATTCGATGTGTAATCACCAAGTGGTTGACTCGTAGTCAGTGATGGCTGGCTACCAGCGGGACTGTCCTGCTCAAGCTGTTCACCAGGACTCATGGATAAGCTACTGGCAATAGACAAGCTCCTTGCAATTGTGGATACACTTGTTGCACTATTTCGTAAATCCTTGAAAATAATTAATATTATAACAAGCGGTCGGCAATAAAGGATATATATCATCATGAGAAAACTTGTATGTCTGGGGAATGAAGTATTTAACGAACATGTGAAGTTTGTAATGAGAAGTGAGAGGAGTATCACAGTGGACTAATTGTTCCTTGGCGCGCTTCTGAGATTATTATTTGGACATTACCATGAAAAGAGACCCGTGTTTTTTTATTTTGCTATTTGGATGCAAACGCTGTAATTTTACTTAATTTACTTTTATTAAAATACAGTAAGGATATATTATGACGCGCAGACGAAATTCTAAGTTTAGTAATCTTTATTCATTTATTACAGCCTATAGAAAGCCAACTACTAAACATTTTCTGCTCAGACTGACTTGTAGGGGGATATATGCCATAGCTGCCACTGCCATGCTTTGTAGGCGGTTTGGCAAGCGCATATTTTTATCATTACGATCTGTTATAAGAAAGATGGCGCCGCCTTCTCCTTTTCATTTCCCTTTGTCGCATCTTTGTCACCCACGGGTGATATGGGATAGGCAGCCACTACATGGCATGACAAGTGAAATGCAATTAAATTGTAGAAGCATTATAATAATTGATTCTAGTTCAAATTACATTACATATTACTTCATGTCGTAAAAGCAACATCGTGAACTTTTGTTAATTCTAGCCTCCTTTTGATATTTAATTGCAGTAAACAATACACAACATGAACCACAATTACAGTTCTTAATACAAAGTGTTTTCTTCTTTAATAACAATTTAAAATAGGCGAACTTAAGAACCATCTAATAATAATACAAATTTAATGCTAAGAATTGATTTATCATATTATGTATTTAAGATTGATGAAAGTATAGTTATAGTTCTAATACAACAATGCAGTGTTCAAATTATTCAGCGATAATTATTACACAAACATTGTTTCCATACACGTAAGTGCTCTATAAATTTATATGTTCCATGTTGCAGCTTAATTGAATGTGAACGCATTATACACATTACGGTTATTTACTGATGTATGTCAATTGTGATTAATTAATTATCAATCACCATGATTATTATATTGTTAAATATTCATTTATAAGCACATATCAAAAACTAGTTATCTAATACGTAACAAACATTACCTGCTGATTGTGTAACATATTTTCTCTATAATGACCATTACAAGGACTAGATTGTCCACTTAGTGACTGGAGGGAAATCGACATAGATCCTCTTCGTTGTATTGGTTGAGGTTTTCCGCCAATTGACTGCCTTTTAAATATTTCCGTCGTATTTTTTAGAAAACTGTCCATTTTCTTTCGAAAGAAAGAAGACTTACGTTCTAACGGAGATTTACCAATCGAGTGTAGATCTAACTCTGATTGGGATAAGCCACCCCGCCCACACAATATAGTTTGATCCAAAGATAACTTTCTGTCTCGTAACTTAACGTTCACAATTTCTTTGGAGTTTTGTGGTGTAGAGATTACGTTCACAACTACATAATCAGAAGGAACACAATCGACGTAAGTATTTGATTGAGAACAATCGTTTGGTTTTTCTAATATTGTAGTTTCATTAAAATCAACTATCTCTTTTTTCTCTGTAGTTTTTTCCAATATATCGTCAGTATTTTGGATATCATCATCCCTGATTTGAGATATTTTGCTTTGTTCAGTTTCGTTTTCAAAAATGTTAGATGAAGTTACCACATCTCGATTTGTTGCACTAGGTGATTCATTTGTCTGCATTTGATCTTGACCTTCATCTATGGTAGATTCTTCAAAGTCATCACTGTTGTCATTAAAGTCTTTGTTATCCATAACTTTGCTTCCCGGTGGTGCTTTAATCCGCATACTACTGTTCATTTTCACATTTCTCAAAATTTCCTTGATCTTTAGATTTTCTTTCATATTCTTGACATCGGAAATAAACATGGAATTTTTTTTCTTATTTGCATTCTTTTCTAACTTTTTTGTTGCTTTAGGTTTTGATTTATCCATTTTCGAGTATAAAATATTTCATTGCGCTCACTAAGAGAAAAAAACTAATTATTTTATAGCACTAAATTATACACTGAACCCCTAAAATTATCACTGTATTATACACTAAAACCATAAAATTGAACGTCATTGCACTGTTGCCATTTTGAAGAAAATTTATCATGAGCCATACTAGCGCACGACACCACACCTGTACAAACCGTTTAATAGTAGTGAAGGAAGTGTGACGATAACACTTTATCAGCATACCTAAAATTCTATTGGTTTATATGGGCGCAGATAATGTATATAATAGAGTTTTGAAAATGAAATCAAGTGTAATGTTTTAACAAAAAATATTTCAAAATGTGTAATTGTAAGAACGTCATTGTGTAATAACTAGGTCATAAAATATAAAAGGCCAATGTAATCTAAATACCAAAACAGCTAAATATAATAGTTATTTTTCTGAGAAAATGTGTGTAGTTTAAGTAACACGGCGTATCTTTTTGACGCCATTACATTAATGATATCTTGGTGCTAGAGATAATCGTTGATAGTTTTATCTCATATCTGTACCAATTTTGCTTTTATCTGGATTGAAATCAAATTTCATACGTCTAGTCACGGATGTTACTCTGTACATATGTACATGCATTGGAGTGTAGCATTTACACTGCTAAGCTAATAGCAAATATTTGTCTAATAACTATTTACGAGCTGCGTGCTTAATAAGATATCAATGTTTTATGCATATCATATTGAATACCTCAAACTGACTAGCGTTTTTATATACTAAGTATGTAGGTATATGATTTCACTAAAATATCCTCGTAGTTTTTGCGTGAGAGTTGTAAACACGCCAACAATTTACAATATCGTTAGCGTGTCAATTTATGATCGCATAGTTACATGGTTTGAGTATCTACGTCCCGGATTATGAGTTCGAATCCTAGTCAAAGTCAACGTGTGTGTAAACGTATGTGTAAAAATATAATTGTTTCAATTTCGGATCTAACTTTCTTTTAAAGGCAGCTGTCTACGTGCCTTCAACAACATCCTAGTCCAGAAGTTATTCCGTAAGTTATATCAAGCATCTGTAGGAGATGTCGAGCGTCCTTTGATTGTGGCATTTCAATTATTCCAGTTGATGATGATAAAAGATATTATATTGGGTAATTTTGAATACAGAGACAACTTTCGACAAAAAGAGCTGATGTAACTCCATTTTACAAACCATCTTAACTGTCTATGAAAATGTATCTTGTCTGTGAGGCATGCTCTAGCACATTAAAGAACGAATAGTAAAAACTAAGCTTCGACCGTATTGCAGTACACTGCGTCGATATACGCAATACACTCTAGTCATCGGACTATCGAGAAGGTGATATCTGTAGCGAAATCACAAATAATATTGTGCAGGCAAGTCAAGTTAGTGTTGTGCGTGATAACACGGAGAAAATTAATTTTTCCAGAAACGAGACCTAGTTAGATCGATTTTTCGCCCCTGTACACAGGCTCTATCGTTCTCGCCAATGAGATTACAATTAAATACGTGAATAGTGCTTGTAAATTATTAATTGATTAGTTCATTATTTCATTTTTGGTTATAATAATAATCGGAGACTTTGTAAAAAAATCTAAATAATCACATCTTACAAATACTTAAGTATCAATAATACAGTCGTAAGATATAATTATGATCTTAAAACTTTAAAGGATATCGAAATTTCTAGTAGTTTAAGAAAAAAGACGTGTTAGCGTACTTATTGTCTTCGACGTATTTTTTAAATTTATCAGAAATGCAGGTTCCATTACGATGTTTTCCTTGACGGTCGAACGCGTGTTAAATCACCACTTTAAATTGCAAATAAAAATTTAATTGGTGCGGCCTGGAATTGAACTTGGGTTGAACGCGCACTGTGAAAATAACAGCGAACGCTTGCTCCTGACTTACTCTTGAATAAAGTATAAAGTTTTTCAGAAATTTAATTTTATTATAATACCGGCAATATAACGTCTTTATAATAATCGTCGTTTATAACAATAAAAAAGTTAACTAGGCGTGGGTCTACACTTGAGTTTGCGACACTTCAATACTTTATTGTATCCAATTGCAACGGAAACTAAACTAATATATCCTCTGGCTCATGTACTACAGAGCCCTCTACAAACTCATTTTATTAGGTATAACATGATTATCAGATTTTCATACTTACAGGTTATAATATTTATTATGCTTATCAAAAACACTTCATAAAAGTACAATTTTTATCTATAGGCAAGTTTTAAAAAGCATGCTCAATTCAGATGCTACGCTCGCTGCAAATTTCACAGTATATGAAAATACACATACACAGCCAAGTCAATTACAATTTGCGGTGCTAATTTTACACGTGCGTGGCGCGGTGGTTGAGGAAAATATTGTGATGAAATGGGCATGTATTATAAATAAAATATTTCAGGGACATGTGAAGTCTGCCGACACGCATTGGAGCAGCGAGGCGGACTAATTGATCTATGTGTCTTTATATCCCATTCAGAAATGAGAGGCGGTTTGTGCGGAAGTTTTAACTATATAATTCCTGCTGGGACAAGCCTGTTTTAATTTCTGAGAGAAATTTGAAGCACGGAAGAAACCATCGTGGCATCTGAATCCTTTTTGGACACCTAAATTGACACGTACTTATATTAAATAAGTATTTAATCCAACATTCAGGTTTCTTCAAAATTTTTCTTTTAGTACCAACGACGTGGTAAATTAGTGTTTTGAAATACGAATAACAATTTTAATGCTGGATCTAATATTAAAGCACACTATAAATATAAATATAATCCTATATTCTATTGCAACCTGTAAAAAGCCCACTGTTGAACATAGGCGTGTCCATAGATTGCGCTTAGGGTTAGAAAACGTTTTTTTTTATTTGAAGTTGTCATCAGGACGATGTTGTTGCCCATCTCTTGTTTCATTCCCCTCTGTCGCCCCTTACGACGGTGGGGTAGTAGATTATTTTACGCCAACACAACATGGCCAATAATTAAAAAAAACAATGTTTGTTAATAATATTGGGTATATATAAGAATAACCCATAAAGGAAATGATTAAATGGTTAGAAAATGTATACTATATTAAATGCTCTATTTCCAATCATTACCCCACACACTAGGATTTTCTCCGGTATCTTGATGGCAGTGTACATACATAAATTTCACAAGGCCAAACATCCTGAACTGGAACTGACCAAAGAAATACTTGTTACGTTTTTTTATTGTAAAAGATGACAAACCAGCACACAGTCCACCTGATGGTAAGTGGTTGCTGTGACCCACAGACATTTACATCTATCCTCAATAAAGGAATCAAAATGCAGATGCATTGTCACCCGTGAGGATTAAAATGGAATGCATCTTTTCCAGTAAAAAGCGTCTCCGCTTCTCTACACTCACCATCACCATCACGAAAAACAGCTGTGTTAATCTGCTATTTTACGCTGGTATTCTGTGAGAGCGTGGTCCTTCCCCGGTCGAGCCGACCCATTCGTGCTACAACTATACTACTAGTATAGCTGCAGCATGGCTCTACCACGTATAAAACGTAAGGTTCGAACCCGCGGCCAATTGTATTCAATAATAAAAAAGAGTTGATAAAAGAATAATTAAACCGGAATAGATTTTTCTTTTCGAGACAGATTACAGGTAACACTATTAAAAGTCATTGTTTTTACTACTGTTCCGTAAAAAACCTCTACTGTAGGAAAAACCTGCAATAAAAGTATAGTACGCTTTTAATAACCATATTTTTATATAGATTTTAAACACCAAACCATTTATACATGGTAGAACTATGCTGCAGCTATTTTAGTAGTATAATTGTGGCACGAATGGGTTGGCTCGACCGGGGAAGTAACACACTCTCACAGAATACCAGCGTAAAATAGCAGCTGTGTTTCTTATGGTAAGTGTAGAGAACTGGAGACTCTTTTTACTGGAAATGAGGCATTCCATATTAGTCTTCACGGGTGACAACGCATCTGTATTTTGGTTTGTAATAGAGGACACATGTAGATATCTGTGGACCACAGCAAACACTTACCATCAGGTAGACTGTGTGCTCGTTTGTCACCCTTATCCTATAAAAAAAAACATTTTTAAAACCAATCTTACTAATATTTAAACATTTTTAAAATTTTCACCTATTTGTCTGTCTGGGCTCTGGACTAACCTTTGACATGGCTAATATGATTGTAATTAAACTTTACGAACAGGTAGAGAGCAATCCAGGAGCGATCTAGGCAAGATTTTATCTTTTAAAAATTTGGTGTTTTTTTAAGAATACAAAAATAGACATATAAGTAGTTTTTGATCTTAAATCTTAATCACGCTAGATTAATAGATTTACCCAGGCCAAGTCAAGGCGGGTCGCTGGTAGTCAATAATCCTAGACCTTGTGATTGCATCTCTGGCAAATACTGAACAACTACTTCATTCATTCATTACAATTTATCTGAAACGATTTTGTGTGTGAAGATTTAGATGTTTATTCATCTGTTATCAGAATGATACTGCTACGCATCTCCCGTTTTATTTATTTCTTTTGCCTCTTACGACAACGTTGTCGATTCTCTAACGTCAACAGTACACGGGTAATAATAAAATAAGCAAAGAGATTTAAGATATTTAAATCTCTTTGAAAATAATATTTATAATATTATTTATAATATTAAGTAATAATACCCCAAGAAATTCAGTGATTGGTTGGCGAGAAAATTGTATAATACTCGTATATTATATACGAAGTGAATTGCGTAGAGATATATTATGATGTATATATATCCAGATTAGCGCGGAAAATATGTTAAAAGTAAGGTTACTGAACGATTTGTTTGCCAGGGCGGTAACCGTAAAATACTGTTTGAATTTTTAGGGTCTACTTAAAAAAAATAGAACCCATAAAGGATTACATTACATGTAATGATTGTGTCGAGCAGTGCACTTTTATAGGTTGCAATGAATGGATG